TAATTTACTATATGTAACAATAGTACTGGCAGTAATATCTATTATACTAATAATAGCAATTTACATAATGATAAAATGCAAGTATATTAGGTACCACAGAAGTCATGGAATTTCCCGGCAGAATAGTTAGATATAGGGCACCCAATAGAAATGACTACGTACGAAATTATGAAGAGACACCCTTCACTCCACCACCCTCACCAAGATAAATTAATTAATTAAAAAAAAGGTGATAAAAAAAAATAATAAAATAAATATATTTAGAGTAGTCGCTAGTCATAACAAATTATTTACTTACTAATAGAATAAATATATATAATATAATAATATAGTACATACAAAACGAAAATAAATACGTAACATATTAATAAAATAATAACCACAAGAATAAATAAATATTATTGCATAACGAAATAATTCATAGAATAATACTTACAATAATCACGATGTAACAACTATATAACAGGCCACTTTAATTATTTCAGGAACTAAAAGGAGAACAAATTATTTAAAAACATACCTACATAAATAAGAAATATAAAATGAATAGGAACTCACCACCTACTTCTCATACAGTTCAAAAGACACTACAAACAAGAGAATTCTTTCACAGACTTATAGTAGAGTTAATAACAGCACGCCACACACAATTAAATCAAGGGGGAACAGTGACCCTACACTGTTTCAGAAGACACTTAAGGAGGGCGAATGAAGACATGACACACCCCTTTCCAAGACTAGTTTTGGAAAGAGTTATGGTACATGTATGCAACTTCGTACACACGGTGGTTGAACGACCGGACCACAACAGACCCATTTGTGTAGAAATCGGTTTGTTGTTAGAGCAACTAATAATTAGAGGCGTGGCAATAGCCCAGTAAACGATATAGTTCCAAGAAAATAATAATAAAAAAAAAAAAAACATAAATGTATAATAATATTATTAAATTATAGTGTTACTGACGTTAAATAATAAATTTTATTTTAGCTCACAGATCCGTTTTTTCATAGTGGATTTCGAATTCTTTACGGTTAGTAAAGAGGAAACATTATTGGTATCCGGGGCGATTTCAAATAGTCTAGAAAAATACCAGCCCAAGAAATTGGAAGGAAGTCCCCTTATACTTACAAAAGACGATAAGTTAAGGAGATTCCGGAAATGCGATCTTAAGAAAATAGTGCAAACAATCAAGCGGGTATTCCGAGGGAAAAAGGCAAGCGTGATTACACCACTGTTGGACCAGTTATACAAAAGTGTAAGCCATCCGGGGGAATCAACCTTGTCAACGGTTTACTTGCAAAGATATTTGCACATAGACAATAGGGATCCAATAATAGTTTTCTGGAATGGAACGACGGACATAACATTAATTAAACGATTAAGAATTAAGGGTATTGTAGCATTTTTAAATATATCAGCATATAGTATTAAAAATAATAACGAATTTAATTTAGAATTAACAAATTTAGAAACTAAAGAAGTTTTATATTCAGGGTATTTAGGGGAAATGAATAAAAATGGTAGAATGTTAGGGTTATCGGAGGCGCATGGATTAATGTGTGAAACTAATCATAATATTACTTATTTTCATGATCCAGTTACCGATGTAGTTTTAACGAAATGTCTATTTAATTATGTTGTTTCAAAAATGAGACCCATATATTTATATAAATTAGCAAAAAATATAAAAAAATTATTATAATCAGAATAAATGAATTATTATAGTTAATAAATAAGCCTTAGAAAATAAACAATATATATATATGGTTACGGTAAATAAATAATTTAACACTTGTAATATTATTTTAGATTCGTTGGAGAATTAAAAAACATAATAAAAACAGAAGTACATATCTATAACTTAAAAGAAAATAAGATGCAGTCAGTGTGTCTTAACAAGCATATATTAAAAGCCAACAAAAGATTAAATAACCGCTATGATCATAAAACTTTAAATAAAATAACAAGAAATCTTGAACTTTTTATAGATGATCACTGTAAGGGAGAATGTAAACATTTAGCAGAAATAATAGAAAAAACTAGGGACCCGAGCTATATAATATACTATCCTAAGTAAATTTTTGGTTGCATATGTGTATGACAATATTAATAATTATTCATATAAATTTATTATATAAAATTAATTGGTGGAAGATAATAATTATTATATTGTAATCAAGGGGAATACTAACATTATACATTATATACTTACATTATATACTTACATATTATACTTACATTATATACTTACACTTTTAATATTGTAATTTCAGGTACAATACTGTATTATTATTTTTGAAGGACTATTGCTCCTTCTTACTAATACTAGCTATTTAGTAATTTATGTATTTTGTTCTAACTAACACTGTACTAACCACGATATATAACTTTTAATATATATTAAAAGAAATATATATATGTAACAGTAATATATATATGACACTTTAAAAAATTGTAATATCTACACTGTAATATCAAAATTGTAAAATGTTGTAATCAAATGTATGTCAAATTGTAAATCAACTATTATGATTAATTAACTTAACTATGATTGTTAAAGATTCTTAACCCTTAAAGGTTAACAATCTTTTTTTTGGTGGGGAGGTGTAATGGGATTACGCAATTCATGTACAACGCTCACAATTACAAGTACTACTTATGTAGAAAGCGGCCTCGTCGACCACACCCAAAAGTGGTCATAGCTAGAATAAACGCTTCGGATCACAACAACTTCCCAAGGGCGCCTACATGCCACGCGCCGCTCAATTCAAAGGGCGTCGCCTTCGTATATTCGTATATATAGAGGCTAGGGCCTCAATACAAATTAGATGTATCCAGAGACGAGAACACCACACGTCTCGCTTAGCCGCCCAGCCATCACACACGACTTACACAGAGATTATCAACTTCGGAACGAGCTACAAATTCACTACAATCAACACTATTATTCTGCTTGTTTTGTCTGGTTTAATATAATACATTTGATTACCATTCTAATTGTCTATTATTATTTATCAAGTACACCAGCTTTTGGATCCCTGAAGGGCCGCATGTAACAAAATCCATAAAATCGTATGGTAAAATTTGTTTTTTAATCATGTAAAAACTGCACAACATTTAACATGTACGAGACACGAGTCAATGGTGGTGGGGGGGGGGTCCGGAGCCCATGGACCCCCCCCCCCTCGTAAATACGCCACTGGCGTGCGACAAGCCATCGCCCGCGGACGTACGCCTTACCGTTCGCCCGCCAGAATTCCAGAGGTGAGGGGGCCGGAAAAACGAGTTTTCTCGGTGCCCGAGGTCCCTCGCTCAAAGCGCGTTGTACGGAACGTTGTCGGAAGGCACTGTAAATTCTAATCGGGCAGACTCGAAAAGAAAACTTTTTTAATAAATAACATAAGTATTATATTATATGGTGAAGATAAGATACACCAAACAGCACGCAAACGGTTTACCTACCTTCTTAGCACTAGCTCACGATTAAAGATAAGATTGTTGCCCAACAAGCTATGATAAGGTGTAACTCATAATTTCTTTTAATCACAGAACTGAAGTATAACGATCCAAGTGGTGAATTTAAGCAACTATCGTATATCGTAATAATTTCGCGGGGCGCGGAAAGTAATAAAATAATTTAAATAAACGATGTTCGTAATACCTTTACAATTTAATAATACCTAGTAATTTGCAAATATATTTGATTCATTCTCTTTTTTTAAATTATATCTCATATAAAAAGTTGAATATATGTACACATTTAAAAATAATTACAATATACATTTGTTAACATTATTAGTTAGAGCTACATACTTCAAGTACAATTCTAAAATTAAATTATCTTCTTTTTACTAACTATTAATTATGTAGCTACTAATTTGGACAATTTCTTTTTAGTTTTTTGGATATCTGATTTTTAATGTATGTAAATTGTCTCATTCTCATAATAATAAATGTACTGCATATATCGGTAAAGATTTCTGTTTCATGAGTAGTACACGGAAAATTAATGTTAGAATGGGTGGATAAAAAATCTTCAAATGTGTTTTCAAAAACATGAATGGAGTCTGCGTGTTTTTTGAAACATTCTTCTAATTTTCTCAGCATCAAGAACAGGTTTTGATTCGGATGAAATGAGATCCAGTTCATGAAATGAGTGGTTTCACTATGTGGATGCGACATATATATATACTATTATTATTTATAAAACAATCAACAAGTACCTACCATCACCAAAATGAATAATCATAGGCGTGCGCACGGGGGTCACCCCTGCGGCCTCTGGCATTTTCTTTAATATATAATCTATACAATACTAGATAGTGGTAATATTACTAATATTTTGATTTCTTCGGTAACATGCAATTAATTTATAATTTCATTGAAGGCAGCTGTACTCGGCATGCAGTATTGGAAAAAATTGCTAACTTAACAAACACAAAGTTAAAAACTTTAAAATCAATTTCTACCACAAGGTGGGCTTGCCGCTCAGAAGCTATTAGTGCAGTAAAAGAAAATTATTCGTCAATATTAGCAGCAATTGAAGAAATTATTGATAATACAAAACAATCAGATGTTCGAGCAAAAGGCAAGGGAATTCTCCATCATATGAAAACATTTGAATTTGTCTTTGCCATGTTGATGTTAGATCCTATTCTTTCTTCAATATTAAAAACAAGTGTTTTTTTACAGTCACCCAACATAAACTTATTAACTGCTGTAGAAATCGTTGAGTCATTAAAAAAATTACTTGTTTCTATGAGAAATACTGAAGACGATTTCACAGATATTTATCATAAAACCATTCAAATGTGTAAAAATTATGATATTGAAATTCCACAACTGAAAAAAAGAAAAGTGTCAACCAAAATTGACTGCTTGAGTAGTACACAGCACTATATGTCTTCAAAAGAAGAAGAAATGAAGGTTTCTGTAAGTATACTATTCAACATTGGACCATATGATTAGTGGAATTAATATTAGATTTAACCAAGAAACAATGAATATGATTCAAAGCATTGGAAATTTATTAGTTTTAAATATAAATAGCAACGACATTTCAGTCTTGTCCACAGCATTTGATTTAAATTCTGATATGTTGAAAACAGAAATTAATCTTCTTAAACATACAGATAATATACCGAAAGGCGAGAAGAATAAATGTGGTGATTGGATAAATTGGCTGACACAATCCAACTGTGGAAGGGAAACTATATTTTGTAATGTTATTAAAGCATTGAAAACATTTATGATTATACCAGTAACGAGCTGTGCTTGCGAGCGTTTAGTATTGTGAAAACCAAGCTACGCAGCACCATGACACAGGATTCATTGAGCAAGAACTTGCTTATAATATAAAAATTGATGATGTAATTGATACATTCAAAAACCTTACTCCCGTGGACAGAAGGATGGAGTTGTAAATAGCTATGTAAATAAGGATCTTATGTATAAATTGTGTGTGATTTTTTTATTATACTATATTTTGTAATAATAAATAATAATTTATAATAATATTTAATGATTATACTAGTGTCTAGTAGTCATTAGTACATGAATATTTGGTTCAGAAATTTTGAAGAGGCCCCCCCTGCGGACAAAGTCTGCGCACGCCTATGTGAATAATACGTATATATATTATTATCCACAAAATTACTAATATCTATACGTAGGTATGTACTATTACTTACAAAATAAACAACATGCACATATAATTATTCATAAAATAAATTGCGTAAATTGTGCGTCGTAAATTGATGAGTACCTATCTAATATAACACGTAAAACGTTCAATCGCGGCCTATGCCACGCGTGTTAAATTTCGTTACGGTTTATTTCCTCACCCGTTCCGCTCGCCCAGTTCCCCGATGTTTCAGGAGTACTCGCTTGTACCGCGTTCGAATATTATCCGAACAATCTCCGGTTAATCACTCCGTAAATCCCTCTAATAATATTCGACTTCCTATCCCTTATTTTTCTCATTACTACTGAGGCTTTATCACATGGATTTTTGTTGTTCGAGTGAACGACTGGTGAAAATTCTGGACATATCGTAAATATTTCTGTTTCCGTACAATGCAGAAGCTGAGTTTCCGCGAAAGTGGTATATTGTTCCGTATATATTATTACTTATAAAATAAACAACATGCACAATATATAATTATTCATAAAATAAATTGGGTAAACGCGCGTCGTTCGTCTTCAATGGATGAGTACCTATCTAATAACACGTTAAACGTTCAATCGCCTATGCTACGCGTGTTAAATTTCGTTACGGTTTATCCCCTCACCCGTTCCGCTCGCCTAGTTCCGCGATGTTTCACGAGTACGCGTTTGTAGTGTGTACCTACTAACACACGCTCGTTGCCAGTGGCGGATTTAAGGGTTCAAAAAAAGTCGGCAAATCAATAAGAAGGGCCTCTTACAAAATTTATCAATACTCATCCCCATTTCACAAAACCGATCTCTTCGTTCGCGAGAAATAATATCAACCAATAATCAATAATATAGTAACAAATCTTCTAGTTAAAAAAAAAAAAAAATGTTAAGTTTTTATTGATTTTTACAAATTAAACAAAATTAAAAATAGGTATATAAAATTCCTGTGTATAGAATGTAGATTATAATTAAAATGTAGCTTGACGAAAAACCATGCAAATATATAAAAAAAAGTGAAGCCATAAAATTATTCATTATATTATAAAGGTTTAATTTGAGTTACACACTTTTAAATTTCGTACTACACACTTCACTTTTTGTGCAACACACAAATTTTAGGAGCTGCTATATACACAAAAGTCTATGATAAAATTACTATTTTATATTATAATTCACAAAAACAATAGTGATGTGTGGTAGACGGACCGATCGGCTGGGTTGGAGAGTGAATTAGTGGTGTGGAGGCAATTACTCGTCGCCTCTATTTATAATTTTATACTTAATTTAATAATAATAATACTTATTTTTAATTTCAATCAATACTTTATGGTTATAGCAATTGTGTAGCAGTTGTAAGAAACAATGTCCTAACCGGTTAAATGTATAAACATAATAATATGAAAAACATAGTACAAACTCATTAAATGCACAGCCCTGTTTACCACATTTTTCAATATTTATTACGAATTTATCGCGAAAACGGTTTCCAATAAATCATGATTTACGCTGCTGATTAAGTAATAAAAAGATTGTTATTATACCTACAAAATTATTGTTTTTATTTTCATGCAATCATTAATTATATTATATATTAATTTATAATTATAAATAATCTTATTTGTGATCAATGGTGGTGGGTAGAATGTAGAATACGTAACTTAGATTTACGTAGGTATATAAGTATTTACTTCGATCTTTTCTACTTTATTTAATTAAAATATTTTCTACTTTTGAAGTATTCCTATATATTTAAACTATTTTATTATGAAAGCAATGGTAAATTATATTCCAGTTTGAAATATACATTTTTTTTGGTTAACATTTAAAAAAATCAACTTTATAATTTAGGTGGGCCTCAGTGCACAATTTAGGAGGGGGCCCCGTTGGCATTTGCCAACTAAACGACCGTTATTAAATCCGCCACTGCTCGTTGCTATACAATGCATATATTTTACGTAAATTATTACGCGCCTAGGTTCGCCGCGATCTTTTTTTTTTTTTTTTTTTTGAGTAACGCGTCTGAATATTATTAAACTATTACAGGGCTGCCACTAAGTCACTTTTTCAACTAAAAGTCACTTTTTTTTTGTAAGTCTCTAAAAGTCCTCTTTTTTCATTAAAAGTCACTTTTAGTCACTTTTTTAAAATATAAATGATAGTTTTCTTAAAATTAGCGTTTTTTTATACTATTTGTACTATTTCATCAATATTTTGTTATTGAATGTAGATTTTTTATCAAGTTCGAATTTTGTTATTAAATAATATACATTTTTTATTATTTATTCAATCGAATATGGATATATGGATTTAAAAATAGAGCTGTTATATAAAACATAATGAGCATTTTTGAACGAATAAATTATATAACCGTAATAATCTAGAGAAAATCTATATTAAATAAAAATCTATATTTTATAAAAAAAACAATATTAAATAAAAAACTTAATAGACAACCGTATTTAATAAAAAAACTAATCTAAGTAGGTACAATGGAGAAAAATCTTGTTGAATACTAAATGCTTTTTATTTATTTTAGATTGTTTATTAAAAATTGATTATTTTTTATTAACTATTGGTGATTTACTCAGGCTTTTTTTTATAGATTTTTTAATCACCTAGGCTTTTTTATTTAATACAATTTTTTTCTATTCTACTTAGATTATTTTTATTGAATACATTTTTTTATTATGGTTTTTTTGTTTAATATAGATTCTTTATTAAAAATTGATTGTTTTTTTATTAACTATAGGCATTCTACGAAGGATTTTTTTTAGATTTTGTATACAATCAAATTTTTTATTAAAAATTAGATTATATTTTATTCAACATAGATTTTTTATAAAGGTTTTTTGTCAAAATAAACTTTTTATTAGATCAAGATTTTTTCTATTCTACTTACGTTATTTTTTTATTGAATACGGTTTTTATTTATTATAGATTGTTTATTAAAAATTGATTTTTTTTTATTAACTAAATGTAATTTACTCAGACTTTTTTTATAGATTTTTTTATTCAATTAGGCTTTTTTATTCAATCAAGATTATAATGGTAAGCTTGGAAAAATATTTAATTACAATAGTGCGTATAACCTAAAAAAAACTTAGTTGAATAAAAAATCTATAAAAAAAACTTTATTAAAACACCTGTCGTTAATAAAAAAAATCTGTTTTTAATATACAATCCATATTAAATAAAAAAATTAATAGACAACTGTATTTAATAAGAAATAGAAATATAAATTTCTTAACAAGAAAAAATATAACTATAAATTATAATACTATTGCTTATTTTTTTTTTCCATGTTAGTGCCTACCTAATTTGAAAAAGAAGACACAGAAGTATCCAGTTCTCAATATATCTTCTATTTTTAGTATTTTTAACTTTGGATGCTGCAAATATCTCATGTATAAGTTCAGATTGGCTCTTGGGAATTGCATGATTTTCTAATAATTTAGATAGACTTGAATTACTTATTTTATTCATTTGTTTTCTGCAGTTATTTAAACTTTGCTGCAATCTCAGTATTTTTTTACTTGCTCTAGAACACTTTTGTACAACAATTTTCTTGGCTTTTTGAATGTTTTTTTTATTTTTTTTTTATTTGGGGAATAGTAAGTTCTTGGACTTTTTCTTTTTGAACTCTTATACATTTTTTTTTTACACAATATACCTAACAGCCGTTTGCGCCATAAACAAGAAGAATCACTAAATATTAAAAAAAAATATAATAAAATGTAATAAATAAATTATAATTGTACAATTTACCTATTATCTTCAGGTAACACTTTTAAACATTTTTCATGGAACCATTTACCACATGTTTCTAAATATTATTTACCAAAATATGTTTTATAGTCAGTAATTTTATCTGCTGATATTGCTCCATTACAAATCCTACTTTTATTAAAAACATTCAAAACTAATTCTAAGTCCTCGATGCTATTGAACCAATAATTAGGAAAACCAATATCTGCAACTGATATTTCTCTGCCATAAATATGTAAAATAACATTTAAATCTGTAATATCAAATGAAATTCTATTAAATTATACAATATGTCAGTGGTGGATTTTCAAAATTTTTCTGGGGGGGGAGGTCCTAAAAATATCATGTATTTCAAATGTTTTTAAATAATTAAATATATTAATATACCCACCTTCTTTAATTCAAGATGTTTTTCAATGAATCTGAAGTATGAGTTAGTAAACGGTCCCATCTTATAAAAAGAAATTGACTTTTTAAATATTTTAGGTTTGTCATCAATAATAGTATCAACAGACCACTTAATCGGTAAATTAATTTTATTTGTTTGGTTAAATATAATATTAAATAAACCTGTTACTTCAACTAGATAATCAAGCTGTATAAAAACAAAATACAATAATGTTTATTAAACGTTGAATTAGGTAGGCACCTACTTTTATTTTTTTATAAGGTGAGTTCATTTTTTCCTCGTATTCATTGTTTATTGGTTGACTACATTCCATAAGACAGTAGCTATGGTCATTATATTTTAATCCAACGGAAACTCCCTAGTTAATTAAATACAATAATACATTAGGTGGCATTTGGTATACTACATTACTAATATATTATAATATGTTTAATTGAACGTTTCAAAAGACTATTAGAGTACAA